TGCCAATTTTCTGTGAAGGCAGACGCAAACTAATATTGAAGCAAATAATAGCATAAAATCAGGTACAAAGTGATGCTTAAAGTATATTTGGAAATAGTATTGTTGGGCTATTATTTCAAATTGGTTTCTGAACAAGTTAGGTTTTGAAACTTCCAGTAGCATAAAGATTGAGATTTTTGTAGTTCTTGTCTCTACTTACTAAAGGAATAGTTATTGTAGGATTACCTCTTTAAAACTAGAGAACCAAAGAATATTGTTAGTAATGAAATATCGTATCTCCTGTTTTAGGTACCAAGTTTATAAATCTTTTAAATCTTTAATGTTAATATCAGACAACAGCAGAGCTGTCTGTTGATCTCACATGCAATAGAAGCCCTAATCTTGGATCCAGAGTCTGCAAGGTGGGTTGATATTTTACTTTCAGCTTCTCTGCTTTTTATTCATTCCCAAGTCCTTGGGGCTTCAAGCTGGGAATTCAGAAAATGTCCCAAGGGACCTTTGTGACTCTGCTCTGGGCAGGCTTGAGGAGCTGTCCTGAAGTTGGCAGGGTAGGGACTGTCTTTCAGGTTCTACTCTGTGTACTCATTGTGCTCTTGAAAGAGATGGAGTGGACTTGTCTTAAATACAGATTTTCATCAAAATAAAAAACAACTTTCTAATATCCTCTTTTTAAGAGATGAGATAATTTTATTTATTATTATTTATTACTATTTTAATTTGTGTCATTCGTGTTAGCTGTCATATCTGCTGTTTGGCACTCCTGAGTGCACATTAGTTTCCTTCAGAGTCCTGAAAATGTCAGATTTATTTTAAATTTCTAATGTAAATCCATCCCCTTTGGTACAAAAAACTTATGCTCCCAAACAGAAATCACTTGGAAGCAACTTTAAGATGAATCAGGTTTTGAAACTTGCAAGTTGAGATTAAATGGAAGATAAAGTGGCTAAACATCTTTTTAAAAGTGCAGTTCTATAATGTGAATAAAAAGGGGACAACCCAGGAGAGTTTGCCCTGCTCTGAATCAAGCTTCATGTAGAAGGTGTTTTAATCACAGCTGTAAAAAGTGTGAAGCTGTGGATCTTCCAAAAGTTAGGGGTCTAGCAGGTAGAATTTTTTCAAAGTATTTGATTGTGAGCCGAATTTTATACCTACTGCTATTCCATACGTCACCAAGTTGTGAAGCTTTCTAAAGCTTAAAAACTGCAGACAAATACAAATTTGAGCATGCTTACTTGCCCTATCTCAGTTAGACCTTTAATTGCTTTGAGTACAAGAGAGCAGCATGGAAAGTGATGAATAAACTATAGTAAAGAAGGGTTTAAATGTAAAGAGCAAGACTTAAAGTGGAAAAATAGAGAAACTGAGTAGATGGTTTAAAAAATAGAGTTCTCTCTTAGTGAATCTAAAGTTGTAAAAGAGGATGGTGGTGTTGGGCATGTTGGAGTGAACAGCTGTATTGGGGTTGGAGGGAGTTTACCGGGCACAACAAGTGTATTTCATTTTCCAGCTTCCAAGAATATAGTTCGAATGGGACAGCACATGTTGAGAGTGAATATGAAAGAAGGATGATGTCTGTATTTAACCACGTATTGGAAGAAGTGGAATCCCTCAACAGGAAATACGCTCCTGTTTCTTACTTGGCAAGTAACAGCTTTTAGATATGTAGGTGAAGGTTCCAGACACCACCTACCACCTCCATATATCCATTGTGGTCAAGAAACCAAAGGCCACATTACCACATTGTAGTTAGTTAACATAAACCATTAATAGCACAAGTGGTCTCTAAGGAGACTTTAATGCTTTAAAAAAAAAAAAAAAGTCTGTAACCTTACTGTTCAGGTGAAAAGTAAAAGTAATACTTCTAAATCCTAACACTAAGAATATAGCAGATGCTGATAAAAGTCAAGATGCTTGAAGGTAATAACCAAGTCTGAGTCAGGTCTCCACCTTGGCACTGAGTATCAGTGAAGAATATTCTGTTAGTCTGTGCTGTTGTTACGAGGGAACTCTAGCCCTGCAGAGTCCCACACTAGCCTCCTTTCAGTTTCTGAGCTGTGGACAGTTAGTGCAGTGTTCTGTGAGTATAGGATTTCTTATCACTGCAGGTCATCAGACAACACAATGTAAAGTGTACTGAATGCAAACAGGAGCTGATAACAGGCTGCTTTTACAGAGCTAGTAGGTCTTCTTTTACTTGCAGTGAGCATCGTAAAGCTGAAGACCGTGCTGATGGAAACGGGGTAGTCCATATGTCATGGATAGCATCTACTTGCCCTGTTTCCCAGTTGATCAGTCCTTACCAATTCCGAGCTGTGCAGTAAAATGAGTTATGTGCAATGTAAGGTAAATCCTGTAAACTTAGCATCACAGGTTCCATACCCCACGGAAGCTCCTTGACTGCAGTAGTGTTGACCCTTCTCATCTGAGCAAAGGGGATATGCTGAAGCAGAGGAAGGAAGAATAGACAAAAGGCTTTAATTTAAACCATTGTAATGTGGTAGATGCCAATCTTGCTGTTTTATTTGTTTATTTACCCAACTTTGAGGGTTGTTTTTTGGATTTTTTTTTTTTGTTTTTTTGAGGGGGTGTCATCCTACTGTGATTTGGGGAGGAGGAAGATGGGGAAATAGGATGTACAACTCATAAAAACATACTGAATTAAAGCTGGAATGATTTAGGCTTTTCTTTTCAGAAGGCTGCTTGTTTGCAGAGCAGAATACTCTTTTTCTTAAAGGGTAGAAAATAAAGAGGTTTCATGTAGTCTATCACATCCCAGTGACTGTTACCTTAGGGACAGCATTTTCAGTCTTTCAGTGGAAGTTACTGTAGTTTTAGTATTTCAAGACGATTTGCTTTCTTTGTGCTATAAAAGATTTCCCATTTATTACAGCATACGGCTTGTCTGTGCAGTGCTGTCATTGCCTTGTTGAAGGTACCCCTTTCATTTCAAAGGTACTTTTTCCAAAAACTGCAGTCTACAAGCATTAAGGTAAGTACTGCTCAAATAGGATTTAAAATTTCCATTTATAGAGTCTTTTCTGTATGATATAACAGTTGATACAGCCTTACTAAAGGCACAAAGATTCAGCCACCTTAGTGAAGGCGCTTAAACGCAAATAGCACTTGTGTTTGCTTGTTGGGATCAGCAAGAGTAATAAGTACACAAGATTATGAGGAACTATTAGTCTGTGACTTGGACAAGCAAATAGGGTTCAGTTTGGCTGCAGAGCCTTAAAGGTAAAAAGCTACTGGCTTTGGAACTTTCCTTGATTCTGAGCTTTCAAAGCTAGGTAGTGTTCCAGTTGGGGGAAAGCTACTCTGCTCAGCTTGCTTTGTTCCTTTTCCTTTAAAAAATAACATTAATTACCTTGGGAGAGAATTGTAGTATTTGTCAGTTGACAGGGTAAGAATGGCTATACGTGACCTTCAGTGAGAGCTGGGGAAGAAGAGAGAACTTTTCCTTGAACTCAGGTGCTCTTTTTTTCCAGGAAAAGGGAAAGTCTTAAGATTTTAAATGTTTATACTTAGGTGTGTTTTACTTGTTTCAGCTCAATCTGTTTGGAGCGTACATGTGCATATTTTGTAGCAGATTGTTCCTTCCCTGTAAAAGCGTTTTAAGTAATGAAACAGATATAAATATTGTGTCTGGTAGTTCTCATGTGCTTATTAATTGTCACAGTGATGATACTCAGCTTTAAGTTTTGTGTTCAGTCCACCTGCTAGCTCTTTTACCACCTCCCTCCATGAAGTTTAAGAACTGCTTCTTTTCATGTGTGAATTGCCTTGGCTTTTCAGAAGACCTAAGATTACATTTCTGTCTGTTTTTCTGTATTACAGCTTGCTCTATCCCCATCTCCGAGGAACCCTGCAGAGCCTATTGCGGTGCAGAACAATCAGCAACTGGCCTTGAAGGTGGAAGGAGTAGTTCAGCACGGCTCGAAGCCCGGCCTCTTCCGTAAAATCCAGTCCGTCTGCCTAAACGTATCTTCGGTGCTGCAGAGCAAATCGGGACAAGACTACAAGGTATGGGGAGTACAGAACCAGACAGTGTCCTCAGCTTGCTTTCTGTCTTCTCCTGTTCTTTTGTCTACCCTTGCAACAACTTTTATTCCAAAAGGAGATTTTTGTGATAAGTCACTAGGAATCTGTTTGAGATTAGGAAAATTAGACTTGGTGCATAGCAAACGAACTCCCAGGAGAAAAGGTGGGAGCCCAAATTTCTACCCCAAATTTCTTAATCCTTGAGTTGAGGAGACAGGCTTTCCAAATTAAATAACACCTGAGGAGATGCATAGTGAATTTGAATGAGCAACATTATCAAAGTGTTATCAAACATGGAGTGTTTGAAGTTCAGGTTCTGCTAACATGGTAACTAGTGAAAGGCTTTGTTCTGGTTTTTGTGTTTCTTTTGTTTACCTCAGTTGCTTCTAAGGGGATAACATGATTAGGAAGTGTCTAATGTTAGTCTGACATTACTGAATGGAGAGGAAAAAAAAAAAAGGGACCTTAGAACAAAATGGACTTGGTGTGAGCAATTTGCTTCTTTTGGTAGATGCACAAATCACAGTCACTGTGAAAAATATGTCAAGACTGGCTCAAATATACATGTGCATTGGTTAAGGAAGACTGAGGGTAGCAATCTTGCTCTGCTTCCATTGGAGAGCAGATAACTCCTTTTCATGGGTTATATGAAATGACATTTTAACCCTCTGTATGTTCTCAGATTCCTATTGACAACATGACCAATGAAATGGAACAGAGTGTGGAACCACACAACGACTACTTCAGCACTCAATTTCTGTTAAACTTTATGATACTTGGCACCCATAACATTACAGTAGAGTCCTCTGTAATAGATTCAAATGGTATTGTTTGGAAGACTGGGCCTAAAACAACAATTTTTGTTAAATCTCTTGAGGATCCCTACTCCCAGCAAGTTCGTCTCCAGCAACAAGGACAGCCACCATCCCAGCAGCAACAGCAAAGAACAGCGTACTCTCGGTTTTAACTCCTACGAGTGACTCTTATCCTGCAAGAGTCAGTGGGATCATAGCTTTTCTTGGATGCAGTTTTTCCTCACTCAACAATTATACTTTAAATGTTTTGAAAAAAGTGGCATCTGTGACTTTCTAAATGGTTTAAGCTAAGGTAAATTTGGGCTTGAATCAGCAGAAGCAAGTTAGAACCTCTATTGAATCTGTTCACATCTGTTTACAAACCGGTTGCAGCTCCACAAACTTAGTTAGCAGGGGCGGCTGAAGCCCTGTGTGACTAAGGCTTTCTGAAGTGTGACTAAGGCTTCCTTTTTCTGAAGCAGGGGATTCTAATACTAGGCTCAAAGGTATCTGTTAACATGCTGGCTAGCTAATACAGAACTGAGTGTGATACCAAGCCCATATCTCTTAAAATGTGAAACAACCGGCAGGAATATCCAGAGATTTATTCTGAAGTTTCCTTTTTTTCAGAGCTTTTTCTATTTTGATAGGTATATGCCTGATATATCTGTATTTTTACAGTTCGTGAGCACTGTTTGATGCATTAATGTGAAAAGGCCAAGGTGAAGACACACTTTTCATGTGTAGTTTTACAGAGAAAAGACAGGCTGGAGAGGGGTGTCAGAAGAGTCTTAGAAGAAGCAGGATTTTACTAGTGAAAGCAATAACTTTCTTGGGTGGTATAGAAAAGATTACTCTTTTGTTCTGAATCTTCCTCATTTATCTGTACTTCAGAAGGTTCTTTTTTTAAGAGGAAAGTTAATTTGCAAGTTGTCATTCAGGTTTTAGTTCTTTTGTATTTGAAGGAATTCATTAAATGTCAGCTTTGTAAGCTTGTATACTCTTCTACCGATTCAGTAGTCTTAATTGGCACTTTTACAGGATAACTTTAAAGATAATTTTGCCATGAGTAACAGTACTAGAAACTGATTCAGAATCAATTTGGAAATATGCTGCTTCATACATAGCTTTCATGCTCCCTTGGAAGTGCAAAGGGCTGAGCTCTGTGTCTGGGCTCATGTGCAGTAGATCCCAAAACATGACACTCATCTGGTCCTAATAAATAATCTTAGTTCATCACTCTGTGTGAAAGGAAGAACTACCTGAAGGGGAAGGAGGAGAGGGGACACTTCTTACAGACTTTACAGTTTGTAAATGGCTTAATCCTCGTCTTTGGAGCAGAAATTTTCAAAGTCATTTTATCAGAAAATTTCTAATATGCTTCTGTTTATTCAAGTGGGTTCACTGTAGAAGCTGACCAGAGTTTGCAAACTCTGCTTTTTTTGATCTGTAAAGAATACGATAATGAATTGTTATAAGCCTCTGTTTCTTTGGCATCATTGACGGAGGAAGTAGTTTCATTGATATTTTTTTGTTGTTTTTTTTTCCCCCCCCTACCGATTTTTTAAGACAATCGACTTTCTTCCTCTTGGCTTGACGCTCTGAGAGGGAGGCGGGGAAAAAAAAGTGATCCTCATAAATTTTGTGATCTGTTGGTCAGATTTTTCATCCTAAAAAGAAGAGATGATTGGGCTGCTGGAAGGAAGGGAGAAGACTCACAAAATTATTGTAAAAAATCACCAATGTCCTCCTTGAATTGGATCTTTATTTTACACAAGAGACAAAAATTACCTTTCGTCTGGCTATAGAAAGTGGTGTTTCCTGTCCCCATTATAATGCTTATATAGTTAGATATAAATTTGTGTGTGTGTATGTATATACATAGATAGATACATATATACAGTATGGATGTCCAGAAAGAGATGACTCACATAACACTGCATATGCAGTCTGTCAAATTTGAGAACTGTGCTGTTTGTGGTTGATTTTTTTTTTCCTTCTTCCAATGAAGGCCCCAGGCCAGTGTCTTAACCACAAAACCATCTTTATTGTAGTAAGAAAAAAAAAAAAAAGAAAAAAAAAAAAAAAAAGGGGGGGGGGCGACAAGCAGAGAAA